CTCCTTCATATCTGAATGAGATCCTTGCTGGGTAGAGTAATCTAGGTTGTAGGTTATTCTCTTTCATTACTCTAAGTATGTCCTGCCATTCCCTTCTGGCCTGAAGGGTTTCTATTGATAGATCAGCTGTTATCCTTATGGGAATCCCTTTGTGTGTTATTTGTTGTTTCTCCCTTGCTGCTTTTAATATTTGTTCTTTGTGTTTGATCTTTGTTAATTTGATTAATATGTGTCTTGGGGTGTTTCGCCTTGGGTTTATCCTGTTTGGGACTCTCTGGGTTTCTTGGACTTAGGTGGCTATTTCCTTCCCCATTTTAGGGGAGTTTTCAGCTATTATCTCCTCGAGTAACTTCTCATGGCCTTTCTTTTTGTCTTCTTCTTCTGGGACTCCTATGATTCGAATGTTGGGGCGTTTCACATTGTCCCAGAGGTCCCTGAGGTTGTCCTCATTTCTTTTGATTCTTTTTTCTTTTTTCCTCTCTGCTTCATTTATTTCCACCATTTTATCTTCTAACTCACTTATCCTATCTTCTGTCTCTGTTATTCTACTCATGGTTCCCTCCAGAGTGTTTTTGATCTCATTTATTTCATTATTAATTTTTAATTGACTTTTTTTTATTTCTTCTAGGTCCTTGTTAAACATTTCTTGCATCTTTTCAATCTTTGTCTCCAGGCTATTTATTTGTAACTCCATTTTGTTTTCAAGATTTTGGATCATTTTTATTATCATTATTCTAAATTCTTTTTCAGGTAGATTCCCTATTTCCTCCTCTTTTGTTTGACTTGGTGGGCTTTTTTCATGTTCCTTTAGCTGTTGGGTATTTCTCTGCCTTTTCATCTTGTTTAGATTGCTGTGTCTGGAGTGGGCTTTCTGTATTCTTGTGGTCTGAGGTTCCTTTTTATTGTGGAGGTTTCACCCAGTGGGTGGGGTTGGACGACTGGTTTGTCAAGGTTTCCTGGTTAGGGAAGCTTGTGTCAGCGTTCTGGTGCGTGGAATTGGATTTCTTCTCTCTGAAGTGCAATGGAGTGTCCAGTGATGAGTTTTGCGATGGGTCTATGTGTTAGGTGTGACTTTGGACAGCCTGTATGTTGACACTCAGGTCTATGTTCCTGCGTTGCTAAAGAATTTGCGTGGTATGTCTTGTACTGGAGCTTACTGGCTCTTGGGTGGTAGTTGGTTTTGGTGTAGGTATGGAGGCTTTTGGATGGTCTCTTATTCCTTAATGTTCTGTGTAGTCAGGAGTTTTCTGCTTTTCTCAGGATTTGGGCTTAAGTCTCCTGCCTCTGGATTTATTCTTCCAATAGTCTCAAGACTTCTCCAACTATACAGCACTGATAATAAAACTTCTAGGTTAGTGGTGAAAAGATTCTCCACCGTGAGAGACAACCAGAGAGGTTCACAGAGTTACATGAAGAATAGGAGAGGGAGGAGGGAGATAGAGGTGAGCAGGAGGAGAAAAAGGGGACTCAAGAGGAGAGAGACAGATCTACGCAGTTATCTGTTCCCAAAGTGTTCTCCGTAGCCCAGACACCCACAAAGATTCACAGAGTTGGATTGGGAAGAGAAGGGGAAAGGAGGAAATAGAGGTGTTCCAAGGTAGAAAACAGAGAGTCAAAAGTGGGAGAGTAATCACCACACTCCTGAATAGAAATGGGAACTGAATATTGGATTCTTAAATGTCCAAAATTTATATCACATACTGAAAAACAAAGATTAAAAATTTAGTGTAGAGGTTAGACTTTGAAATACAATATTTAAAAACAAAAACAAAAACACACAAAAAAATTTAGAAATGTATATGAAGTTCGGTTTAAAAATAGGGTTTCTCTTTTTTTTTTTTGGCAAGGTTATAGTGAAATGAAAATGAAAATTAAGGAGTAATAAAGGAGTATTAGAGGACTTTAAAAGGAAATAGGAGAGAAAAACAAGAAAAAGAAAAAAAAAATTTTTTTCCCTAATTAAAAAAATCGTAAAAATATATGAAAATGGAAGTTGAGGAGTAATGGGGGAGTAATAGGGAATTTTAAAAGAAAATAAAAGAGAAAAAAATAAAAAATAAAAAAGGAAAGAAAAAAAAATTTTTTTTTAATTAAAAAAAATATATACATATATATCTAGGAATTTCTCTGGAGTTGTTGCGGTCAGTGTAGGTTCAGTTCAATTTCAGATAGCTCCTCTTTCCAGCTTACACTTCTTGATATCTGTAGGCCCCTTCCGGTGTAGTCGGTGTTACCTTCAGGGATTTTAATCTGTTGCACCAGTCCTTCTGAAGCGGTTCCCTTTGTTTATTTGGCTTCTGTTTGCCGTCTCTTCCGTGTCTAATTTCCGCCCTGACACAGGCGGGCGGAGGTGATCTCTTATTTAGGTTCGCTAGTTCAGTTCAGTCCTGCTACGAGTAGGGCGGGGCGCTGCAGACAGATACCGCTCTGTGTGGACAGCACTCACCGTGTTCCGGCCACACTGGGTTTGTTCCGGCCACACTGGGTTTGCCCCGCTCACTGGTGTCGGTGCTTTCCCCGGCTACACTGCTCAGGCTCCCGGCTGCTCTATATGGAGCGGGCCCTGCGTTGAGTGCGGTTCCAGTTTTCGGGTACTCCACAAAAGCGCGGATTCAGTTGCGGCTGCGTTTTGTGCCTTCCCCGGCCTGAGCGGTTCAGGCAGCCAGAAGCTTGGGCGCACTCTCCCCGGATGCAGCGAGCCTTTTCCCTCCGCGGCGAGCGGCCCAGGCAGCAGAGGCTTGGGCGCACTCTCCCCGGGTACGGCGCGCTTTTTCCCTCCGCGGCCCCAGCGCGCGCCGCCGGTCGGGTCTCAGGAAGTCTTTAGATAGGAACCGGGGGCCTGTTTGCAGTGTGGGAGGGGGTGGCTTCTCAGGGGCTGTTTGCCCTTTTCCCCTGCCCCCTGCCTCCTACCTCCAGCGGGGATGGGCCGGCTCTTCTCTGGAGTTTCTCAGTCCCTTTGTTTTGCGAACCGCCGGCAGTGTGTTCGGGCCAGTTAATTTTGACCCTTGCTATCCCACAGTTTAAAAAGCTCCCTCCGATTGCTCTCAGGGTCTTCGGGCCGGTCCTTACCCTAAGCAATGCTGCCCGCTTTTCTCCGTTCCGCCCCCGCTTGTTGCTGGCGGGTACGGGCGTCTGGGGTGCTTTTCTGCTGGGAGTTGCTTTTAGGCACATAATCTGTGGGCCTTGTTTAATTTTTCCTCCCAGTTAGACTGCCGAAAACTTCCCCCAGTCCCGCCAGGGCGAGGGTTTCCTGGTGATTGGAAACTTCCTCTATTAAGACTCCCTTCCCGGGACGGGTCTCCCGTCCGTAGCTCTTTTGACTCCCTTTTTATCCTTTATATTTTGTCCTACCTCCCTTCGAAGACAATGGGCTGCTTTTCTGGGCTCCTGATGTTCTCTGCTAGTGATCAGAAGTTGTTTTGTGAAATTTTCTCAGCGTTCAAATGTTCTTTCGATGAATTTGTAGGGGAGAAAGTGGTCTCCCCGTCCTATTCCTCCACCATCTTGGCTCCTCCCTTCAAGCCCTGTGTTTGGAGCAGAGAATGTGTGCATTTTATATGGTGTTTTTATGTTTTATTTATTTTTAAATTTATTTTAATTGGAGGCTAATTACTTTACAATATTGTAGTGGTTTTTGCCAAACATCGACATGAATCAGCCACAGGTGCACATGTGTTCCCCATCCAGAATCCCCCTCCCACCTCCCTCTGCATCCCATCCCCTAGGGTCATCCAGTGCACCAGCCCTGAGCACCCTGTCTCATGCATCAGAGTTGGACTGGCGATCTGCTTCACATATAATATACACGTTTGTTTCAACGCTACCCTCTCAAATCATCCCACCCTTGCCTTCTCCCACAGAATCCAAAGACTGTTCTTTACATCTGTGTTTCTTTTGCTGTCTCCCATATAGGGTCATTGTTACCATCTTTCTAAATTCCATATATATGCGTTAGTATACTATATTGGTGTTTTTCTTTCTGACTTAACTTCACTCTGTATAATAGGCTTCAGTTTCATCCACCTCATTAGAACTGATTCAAATGAATTCTTTTTAATGGCTGAGTAATATTCCATTGTGTATATGTACCACAGCTTTCTTATCCATTCGTCTGCCAATGGACATCTAGGTTGCTTCCATGTCATGGCTATGATAAACAGTGCTGCAGTGAACATTGGAGTACACATATCTCTTTAATTCTGGTTTCCTCAGTGTGTATTCCCAGCAGTGGGATTGCCGGGTCGTATGGCAGTTCTATTTCCAGTGTTTTAAGGAATCTCCACACTGTTCTCCATAGCGGCTGTACTAGTTTGCATTCCCAACAACAGTGTAGGGGGCTCCTTTTTCTCTGCACCCTCTCCAGCATTTATTGTTTGTAGACTTTTTGATAGCAGCCATTCTGACTGGTGTGAGATGGTACCTCATTGTGGTTTTGATATACATTTCCCTGATAATGAGTGATATTGAGCATCTTTTCATATGTTTGTTAGCCATCTGTATGTCTTCTTTGGAGAAATGTCTGTTTAGTTCTTTGACCATTTTTTGATTGGGTCGTTTATTTTTCTGGAATTGAGCTGCAGGAGCTGCTTGTATATTTTTGAGATTAATTCTTTGTCAGTTGCTTCGTGTGCTACTATTTTCTCCCATTCTGAAGGCTGTCTTTTCACCTTGCTTATAGTGTCCTTTGTTGTGCAAAAGCTTTTAAGTTTAATTAGGTCCCACTTGTTTATTTTTGCTTTTATTTCCATTACTCTGGGAGGTGGGTCATAGAGGTTCCTGCTGTGATTTATGTCAGAGAGTGTTTTGCCTATGTTTTCCTCAAGTTTTTTTAGAAAATGTCTCAGAACCAAATATAAATCATAGTAATAGTAAATGCTTATCAGAAAATCTTATTTTACTTTTACCTTTTTTGTTGGAACTGTTGATTATTTAAAGAAATGTTAGCATATTACTTTCAAAAGAGACACTTTACAAATGACTTTATCAATGTCTTTTAATAGCTGGAAGACACTCTGTGGACAGGATTAACAGATTCGCATATCCAAATGCCAATGGCAATTACTGCCGAGAATCTTGCTGTAAAACATCAAATAAGCAGAGAAGATTGTGACAGATACGCCCTGCAGTCACAGCAGAGGTGGAAAGCTGGTCAGTGAAAGTGGTTATTACAGATATCTTTAGGAGGAAAACTAGGAAAGGTTTTTATCCTTTTAGATTATAAAGGCCATACAATAATATTGTTTAAAATGATACCTTTTGAAACTCATATTTTTTTTATTATTTGTTTTTAATGCTTAAATATTGAATGTTCTGTTAATGATTGCAAATTAATTGTAAGTTTCTCTTTTGAAGTATGTGAATGCTACTTAAAGTAGTGTGGATAATTCATCCTATCTGGACACTTGAACTTTGCCCCAAACGGGTCAGTAGAAGACTCTGAGGGCTATGATACACTCCCCTGGAGGTGCTAGCTCTCTGAGGCAACTGGGGCAGAGGATGTGGTGCCTCAAGAGGCATCTCATACTCACAAGAAAGGGATGGTATGTTTGGGGAAGACTCATTGGGAGTCTTTTTATGAGTTCCCTCTCCCATTCCTAATTGAGAATCATTGCACCTGCCTTAGAGACCCAGAACTAGCCCAAGGCCTCAGCTGTGGTGCCCTGTGTAACACTGCACACTGCTGGTGAGCCAGTCCAAAATGGGCAAAATGACAGCTGTTCTTTTATCAGTATTTGTTAGTCCTCTGAAAGAGTTTTGAAAACTAAACTATTATAAATGAGCAGACACTCTTAATTAGGGGATATTAAATAAGTGAAATAGTGAGGATAAAGTTCATTTTAGTATTTCAGAGGGATAAGTGGAATGGAGCTGATCCAAGTCATACCGTTTTTAGTTACACATTTAAGTGGAAGGGTATTGGTCTAAAGGTCAAGTAGCCTGTTTCTAGTTTTGCCATGGACATATTTTCTGACTTCAATCATTTATTCACCAAGTATTTATTCACTGTGCTAATAATAGAGGTAAAAATATTTGCCTTCCCTTTTTCTCTAACAGAATTGTTGTGAAAAAAAAAATAAAGGAAGTGTTAGCCTGTTATGAAATGGCATCAACTTTAAGGTGGTATTATTTCTAACTTGGGCTTCCCAGGTAACTCAGTGGTAAAGAGTCACCTGCCAGTGCAGGAGACATGAGTTCAATCCCTGGGTTGGGAACGTCCCCTGAAGGAGGAAATGGCAGCCCACTCCAGTATTCTTGCCTGGAAAATCCTTGGATAGAGGAGCCTGGAGGGCTGCAGTTCATGGGGTTGCAAAGAGTCAGACACTACTGAGTGACTGAGCATGCATGCATTCCTGACTTACTCTATTTCTGAAGCTTTAGATTAACTATTGTCCACTCCAGTCAATGGGATTGGAAGTAGATAAGCTGTTTTACTTAGAACTGTGTCAGTAATAGGGCATATAATTTCTTCACATTGCCTGTCATTAAATTTCATTGATAGATGACTTGGTGACATAGACAACGTGGTAACCTTTTTTCTTATTGTGATAAAAACAGTTAACATGAGATCTATCCTCTTAGTAAAATTTTAAGCATACAATACATTCCTGTAGACTATCAGTATTAATACAACTTGGTAACTTTTTAAACTATTTTGTATCTCACCCAGAGAAGTTAAAAAAGGGCATTAAATCCATTTGATGCCATTACATCTGTAGGTAGCAGGCAAACACTAATAATCTAGCACTACCTTATAAAAAATACTGTAGTTTAAAAAAAAATGTCAAAATTGTAATATTACATAATGTATCTGCATGGGTAACAGTATATTAAATCCTCCAATAGACAAGGTAAGTTATGTAAGTAATAAAAGCTTATATTAAAGTAGACTGAGAGGAAAGGACAGAACAGAAATTAAATTGAAGGATATATTTGATTTCATTTTTCTAGTTTATGTTCTTTTTTTCTTCCCGTTCTTATGAATAGTCTTTCTACTCTTTTAGCTAATGATGCTGGCTACTTTAATAATGAGATGGCACCAGTTGAGGTGAAGACAAAGAAAGGAAAACAGACAATGCAAGTAGATGAACATCCTCGGCCCCAAACAACCATGGAGCAGTTAAATAAACTTCCTCCAGTGTTCAAGAAAGAAGGAACCGTTACTGCAGGGAATGCGTCGGTAGGTAGCACCCGGGCCTACCTTGAACCCTTCTTGATGTGTTCACTGCAAACTGATCAGGCAATATCTTTTATATGCCTTTCATGCTGATCTTCAGTTACTTAGCCTAAGCTAGTGGTATTCATATTCTGTTAATTTGGGTTTTCATACTCCAAAATAAATTAGGGGGCCCTTATATAATACTCTGCCAATTTCTTAGTCTTTTCAGAATGTTAGAAGGAAATCTACCTGGTTTGTTTTTTTTTTAACTTTTTATTTTGTACTGGGCTATAACCAACTAGCAAACAATGTTGAGGTGGTTTCAGGTGAGCAGAAAAGGGACTCAGCCCTACATACACATGTATCCACTCTCCCCCAAACTCCCCTCCCATCCAGGTTGCCACATAACATTGAGCTGAGTTCCATGTGCTGTCCAGTGAAATCGACCTGGTTTATTATTTTACTTTTTCTTCCTCATGTATGCACCTCATCAGATTTCTTCTTAAATCTACCCACATCTGGATATAAGCTTTTCCTTTACATTCGTTCCTGTTTCCATTAGTGAGGTTGTATTCTGTGCCTGAGACAGTCTCTTTAATACAGCAGTTTATCACTAGTGCTACAAATCACTAGTGCTACTTGTTGTGTTCCAGATTATGGGGCTGCTTCCTATATGTTGCCATAATCCTAATAGCACTCCATTAGCTCAAAGCTTGATTAACTATATTCTTTTACCCTCTAGTTAATCATCTGTGTTTGTTTCCAAGGGGGTTTCTGATGGTGCTGGAGCTGTTATCATAGCGAGTGAAGATGCTGTTAAAAAACATAACTTCACACCACTGGCAAGAATTGTGGGCTATTTTGTGTCTGGATGTGATCCCACTATCATGGGTATTGGTAAGTTTGCAGTGATACAAATTGGTTCTGTTATGTTTCTGGAGGTAAATCTTCTTTGGCATTCAGATTCCTGAAACAGTAGCCACATCAAGGTCACTTTTGGAGAAAAGGAAATTGGTCATCAGTCATTTAAACAACCCATCTTTATGAAAATCTATGCCTGGCACAATGGGAAGACCAAAACCATGTAAACTCCTTGTGGGCAGTAATTGTGTCATGTTGTCCATTTAAGATATATAAAATTAACACACAGTAAACAACAGAGAAGCATTACTGACAAGTTAATGACAAGACAGTCAAAAATGGGAGATGGGAGAGATCATGGGATGAGGTAGAGAATATACGGACCCCACTGGGTGTTTTACACATAATTTTACATGCAGCTCATTTAATCTTCCCACAACCCTACTAAGTGAGATTTTGTGAATAGAAAAACTGAGGCTTGGGGGGATGGTCTTGTAAAGTTCAAAAGCAGTAAGTGATGAAATGGGGATGTGAATCCAAGTCTCTTATCCCAGTGCTCTTTTCCATCTTTTGCCTCAGGAAGTCAAAGAAATAATGCACCTGGCCTATCTATGACTTAATAGGAAAATGAAAAATTCTAAACAGTGCATCTCAATTGGCAAAATACTAGCAGGAGAAGATTTGAAACTCCCTACAAATATGTATAGTCTTGGTTCCAGAAATATGAATTAGAAGGAAAACAAAAAACTTTGCTGGGTATACTCCTAGGAACTGTAGATAATGCTGAATTTTAGTAGTTCCTGCATCATTCTCTGGGGAGACAGGGAGCCAATTATGTGCCTCACAAAAATAAAATTGGCTTTGATCTATCCCACCTATACCTTCATACCCCAAGAAAAAGCCTGCCCTAGGTTATAGATTGAGATTTTTGATGAGCCAAAGATTTTCCTATATACTTAGTAAGGCATTTTTTGACTAACTAAATTGGTTTTTGAAGTAGGTCCTAAGATTAAAAGGGAGATCACCTGTTTCCAGCCTGCCTTCTCAGAAATCCTTCAGTGTAAGCCTCTAGGTGCTACCCAGATAAAAATCACTTATGTTGATTTGGGACTAAATTAATACCAGCCATGTTCATTGCCATGTCCTTGAGAGATTTATCTCTGTACAGAATTCCTCAGAAAGAAAGCTGGCATGTCCATACCTTGTCATTTTTCACTGTGTTGTAAATTATGTCAACCAGAACTGCAAGCTTTGCAACCATCTGTTAAAAGTCATTTGTTTTTTTCTTTATTATGGTTTTAAAACCTTACTTTCAGCTACCTACTGTCAGCAAAGTACAACTTTTGTCTTAGAAATGAAAGGTAGCTTTAAAAATTAAACATCTGTGTATTGGTATGGCATTTATCATTTTGTTATTTATGGCAGTAGTTCCCAGCCCCAAATGATGATCAAAATCTAACCATAACCCCAGTCCACCTCAAGATTTTGTTTCGTCTAGTAGGTCCAGGTAGAACCTCGGAATATGGGTTTTTTCCAGTGTACAGCTGGTTTTGATGATCAACTGTATTTATTTGATACAGATAAGTAGTTATTTTGCAGTTTTCAGTTTAACCTCTCTTAAGAGTTTCTGATACATTGACATGGTCAGTGAACAAGAAAGTTTAGTTTTTCTTCCGTCTATTCTTGGGCCTGAATATTTGCCCTGTAGTATATAATAAATGCCATTGTGGAAGAATTCTGTTTTTCCTCAGGATTGGGACAGAGCTGTGTCCCATACCATAAGATGTCCTCCCCCTCACCTAAATAGCTCATCTCTCAGGTGTAGTATGGGGCCAAACAAGGTAACTGCATGAAGTGCACCAGCTGAATAAATAAGGGAGAGTAGATTATTGAGTATCTGGTGGAGATTGATTCATCAACCCAAATTCTAAGAATAGTTGTTCTCCATTTATGCAGTTATTCAACATATAGCAATGCTTAACCCTGCCCAGTAGGTACAGATCCAGAAAAAGGTGGAAAGCCAGGAATTGAGGAGCGCAATTAATGGCTCCAAGGAAGGACACAGTTATGGAGAAGCAGTGCTCCCTGGAACTCCCCATGAGTGGCAGTGGTAGAGGGTAGGTAGGTGGAACTTTGAGCCTGTTTGACTGGGACAGCTCAAGCTTTACCTGTTATTGGGCTTCATTTGTAGAAAGATATGCTTTAGAAGAAACGGGTTAAAACCAGCTCAAAGCACTTTGGATGAGAAGCTTATCGCCACCAAAGCTACCCAAGGTTACACAGCTATTAGTGGTAGGAGCCATTACTAGAAATAAAGTGTCCTTTTCCCAGCAAAACTACTATACCTTCCTAAGGCCCAGTAAATAGCAAAGTGGTAGGGAAACAGTTCTTTAAAAATTAGCTTGTAGCCTAGCATATTGTTACAATTGACTATAACAATTCTAAGTTAATACTAACGCATTTAGTCATGCTGACTATGATTATGAAGGCAGGGATGTGTGAAGAATGGTTTTACATCCTCAGCTTTTATTGTGTGTAGCTTTCACACCTGTGGGTACTGCATCCCCTGACCATGCTGAATAATCAACGCTCTGCTATTGTCTGTCCATCAATTTTCATGTCTTAAAGATACAAAGAGAATCTAGAATTAGATACTGTATTAAATCAGTAGCCCATATAGAACTGATGCTTTAAATCAAAAAGTGTTTATTGGTAGCCCTACTCATTAACAGATAATTGTCCAAGAAACTTTTTAACTAGGTGACCAAATTATTATATTTAGATTGTGTTATGCTTTTCTTGTGAAGACCAATTTCCCGTTTTACCTTACAAATGTTTGTGAAGCTTGTTATAAGATGTTTGACTATTTGAATTCAACAAAACATCTCATATTTCTCTTTTTAGATATTTATGGAAGTTTTATTCTCTAAGGGAAGATAGAGAAGTAGATAATCATCTCTAGCCAGATTTTTTATATTTTGGAAAGAAATATCAATTTACTTAAAATCATGAGCAATATTAAAAATAAGCTCCAATACCTTGGCCACCTGATGTGAAGAGCTGACTCAGTGGAAAAGACCCTGATGCTGGGAAAGATTGAGGGCAGAAGGAGAAGGGAGCAGCAGAAGATGAGATGGTTAGATAGCATTACCAACTCAATGGACATGAATTTGAGCAAACTCCAGGAAATAATGAAGGATGGAGAAGCCTGGCGTGCTACAGTCCATGGGATCGCAAAGAGTCAGACACGACTTAACGAGTGAACAACAAAATTGAACTGTCATTAGTGATCATCAGAAATCTGGGACTTAGAGTTTATTTCCAAAGTTTTTTAAGGTGGATTTGCATTTCTTCAATGAGAGTTATGTTTTATTTCAAACCTCTGCCTCCTGTTGGAGATACAAACATGTCCTTCTTTTAGCTATCTTTTCCCTGAAGTGCCTGGTAGCTCTTTATCTTGCTGTGCCCATATGGAGATACCAGTGCTATTTCTTGCCTTTTGTCCAAAATGGGCCTGAAAATTCAGAGTGTAGCCACAGTCACTTCTGTACTGGGAATGTATATGATTTGTATTCCAGGAGAGTACTCAGTTTGCCTTGGCATTTGGTATTAAGAACCATCTATACATGGGAATTCCCTGGCAGTCCAGTAGTTAGGACTTGGTGCTTTCGCCACTGTGGCCTGGTTTTGATCCCTGTTTAGGGAACTTAGATCCCTGTGCCAGTTGCACAGAGCAGCCAAAAGTTTTTTTAAAAACTAAAGTTAAAAAAAATAAAATATATTTTAACAAACCATCTATACAAAACCTCACTCCTTTGGCTATTTGAACTCTTAAAGTCATTTATGGTGGAATTTTTCATGTTAAGTCTCTCATCTACAATTTGCATAAATGGCTCTTCATCCTTGTCCCATTTTCTGTTTCTTACTGTCATATCATTTAATATTGTGTGCTGTCAGGGTAGCAAGATTTTTAGTAACTGTCACATTATTTCCTCCTTACTTACCTATTTAGTAAAAAAGGAGAAATTTGATATTTACAAGATGAAATTGGTTTTTGTTCTTATATAGGTCCTGTCCCTGCTATCAGTGGGGCACTGAAGAAAACAGGGCTGAGTCTTAAGGATATGGATTTGGTGGAAGTAAGTGTTCTACATTTTTCACAACATGGAATAAACCATCAACTTCTATAGCATAGATGGCTTTAGTTTGATTTTATAGGTCTTTTTGTTTTAGTACCTTTAAACTTTCCAAATGATGTGAATCTAAACAAGTATTACTTTCATTGTATGCCTGTGTTGACATATAATCAGGCCCTACTTTATTAAAATGCTTTGTTTATATTTGAATAATTCAAAGAGCCTTTCTTCCTCTACTAAAGTATAATTCTTGGGTACTTTTTTATGACCCTGTAAGATTCTGCTATTAATACATTTTAGACTCTTAATGTGCCTATTGAACTGAATTGAATGTTAGTTAAGGTGGATGAGAAATAAATAACTAACTTTATTTTATGGATTAAAGTGGAAAAATACAGGTTAAAAAAAATTGACCTAATAGAAAAACAATAATCTAATCCCAAATCTAAGTTTCTTACACTTCTGCCAAGTTAACAGCCACCCCCACCCCCAACCCCAAAACTTACGCTTGGCTTTTACACCACAGTTGTGGGTTGATTTGGAATGCATCTGTCATAATTTTTTTCATTGGAAACTTAGATTTATTGGGAGAGTGATTTCTTTAATGTTAGTTTAGAACAAAAGCATCTTAAATGTTTAGTACAATTAAAAGAAAGGATTAAGAACATGCTTAAAGACGGATTATATACATTCAGCATTTGGGAAGTATTTGAACATTTTAGGTAATTAAGCTGCTTAATTACCATATTTGCATTAGCAAATAAGTACCACTGAATTTCTGACTTCAGATTTCACACTTAAACCTCTTGAAATATGTCATCTTTGTAGAGATGTTCATCAGCATTTATAGATGTGTAAATACTCAAGGACATACCGCTCCATACCCTGATGTGATTGTCTTTGAGACTTTGATGATCATGAGGTAGTTTTTCCTGGGTTCAAAAGCCTAGTTTCACAACATACTCTAGGTCACTCAGTACCTCATGACTATATAAAATGGAAAAATAAATGTTGGGTCTAAGGACAAGTAAAGCACCATCTCTGGAGAGCATAAAATATAGTAGGAAAGAACACAAGGGTGGCTTTTTATCCCAGTCCTGGAAAAGCTGCCTTTTTAAAAATCAGTATCCTTCTCTATAAAATTCCCTGCTGAGATCATATGAAAATATAATTCTGTATACAGGAAATAAGGTAATGCTCCTAGCCAGCCTTGTTAAGTGTAATTCAACAGCATGACACTTTTTAGTTCTGGCATGTGTCAACATGGTAACTGTTCCTCTCAGGTGTCTGGCTCTGAAGGTTTATTCTTTATTGTCTGTCAGTTTCTTCTTGGAAGTATGGCTAGTAATATGGGTTAGTAGTAATAATAAGAGCAACTATTTATTGAATATTTGCTTGTGTCAGATGATACACTAAACACTAATACCCATGATTTCATTTAACATTAACAATAACTCTTAGACAACAGTCACATTTTACCAGTGAAGAAAGTTGAGTGTCAAGAGAATTTAAAGAACATGCATACAGCCAAGATCTGAACTATCTATCTGGCTCTAGAACCTATGGGTTTTCTATAGTACCCCGTTGCTTCTAGTCCAGGATCCATGTATAATATCGCTGAGGATTCCTTTAAGGCAGAGGTCCCCAGCCTCCAGGATCTAATGTTGAATGATCTTTGGTGGAGCTGATATAATAATACTAGAAGTAAAGTGCATAATAAATGGTAATGCACTTGAATCATCCCAAAACCATCCCCACCCCCAACTCCAGTCCATGAAACTGGTCCCTGGTGCCGAAAAGGTTGGGGACCGCTGCTCTAAGGGATGCGTTAACACTTAAAAAGTATCGCTTAGTAAATACATTCATTTTCAGACCTGTTATCTTTATGAAGAATGATTGAAGATAAAGTTAACCTTGCAAGGTAATTTAAGTAGGGGAAAAAAAAACAGGAAAGTTAGCCATCGATAGGACTGGACAGTTCTCAGTTAAAAATAAGTTTGTGAATAAGGATTTTTATTAAGTGTTTTGATTGTTTTAAAGGTGAATGAAGCTTTTGCTCCTCAGTATTTGGCAGTTGAAAAGAGTTTGAATCTTGACCCAAGTAAGACCAATGTGAATGGAGGGGCCATTGCTTTGGGTCACCCATTAGCAGGATCTGGGTCAAGAATTACTGCACACCTGGTTCATGAATTAAGGTACGTGCTAGAAACTGTTGCTTTTCAGATTTGCTGACTTTTGTGTAAATGCATGAACTTAGGTTTCCGCAGAACAATCCAGCACTTTCCATTCTTCCTCACAGCCCCGTGCCCTGCCTTTCTCCCAGGGGTTTGAGCACCCCTTTTTCACAGACCTTAACTGATGACTTGGTTGATTTGTTGGTGCCTCTGCTCCTGTGACACTTGCTCTTCCCCACATGTGCAGTGCAGCCACTCGGCACGTGTTCACTGAGGGCCCAGTGTCCGTGTGGCCCCGTCCCTGGTGCGGGCGCACAGCAGGGAGTCCATAATGAGGCCCTGCGTCTCAGGGCACTTGCATTCTAGTGCTAGTTACCAGGAGTAAGACACAATTATTTCAGAAAACAAATGCTGATCAAGATGCTGTCATTTAAGAAATCTAAGCAAACTGACAGTTGGGGTCTAAGTTTTTCCTTCACTATTTTCCAAGGTTCCAGGAGGAGCCTTCCCTGTATTTGATACTTTGTGGTTTTAACAGAAGAGCTTCTCCTTCCGTACTGTGTTTTTTGGACCATTTTGTTCTGTTAGTAGAAAAATTGCAAACAAAATCAAATATGCAAGGCTTGAAAATCACTCGGGCTCCTGTGACATCAGGGTAAATAGGACTCCTGTTTCACTTAATAATTGGGTTGAAATGAGTGATTGATTGCACAAAAAATAATTCCCGGATGGTTTCTCAAGGTCATTCTATCAGGACTGAAGAATTAGAGTGGATGGTACTTTAAAGGAGTCTTAATTTTTATGAAAGGGACATGAAATGGTTCTAAACTATCTGACCTTTCATACAGACAAACTTCAGTAATTATACTTATTCTAAGGTCCGTAAAAAATCTAAAACAGATAAACCAAGGAGGCTGAATATTAATATTTACTCCGTCTTCTTCAACTTCCGGCCCATCCCAATTACCTCCTGTTTTATGTTTGTTTCTACCTCTATCTTCTGTGTTACTACACTTTTTAAAATAAGAATGCTCAGCTCTCCAAATTCTTTCTCCTCTTTTCCCCAATATTGAGGACTGGAGGAAACATTGAGCTGATGAGCTGAACGAGAATGAATATTGCAAATGTGACCATTATAAATTCTACTTAATTGATTATCTAATTCCGTACATTCTTTATTCAAATAGTTTTCAGCCACTGCTTTCTTTCTCAGGCGTCGGGGTGGAAAATACGCCGTAGGATCAGCCTGCATTGGAGGTGGCCAAGGAATTGCGGTCATCATTGAGAACACAGCCTGAAGAGACCAGGCAGCCTGCCCTGGTGCATGCTCACATGACTTGACCAGGCCACAGTAAACCAGGTGACCTTCAGAGCAGATGCCAAACCAGCCATGCTCTGCACTGAGAGTGACTGGGTTTGGGCAAGGGATGGTGAAGCAAAGACCCATTTATCATAAACAAGAGCCCATGCCAGAATAAATACTCTCAAATTTGTACCATACATGCAGCATTTCTGAACTGAAATCCAACTAGCATAGGCTTTAAAGGGAATTGTATTCTTGCCAAATAACCATCATTTATGCCTTAAATAATATGATTGCAGGGAAATTGAATAAATACTGCCTTAACTTCAGCTAATCCTTTCCTGTCATTTCTTGTATTTTTCTAAAGTTTTAATTGAGGTAAAATACATATAACATAAAATTTACCATCTTAATCGTTTTTAAGCATACAGTTCAGTGGCATTAAATACATTCACATTGTTGTGTGGCCATCACTACCATCCATCCATCTCCAGAGCTCTTTTCATCTTGTAGAACTGGAACTCCACAACCCGCTAAACAACAGCTCCCCGTTCCATCCTCTCTCCAGCCCTTGGCAACCGCCATTCTGTTTGTTGTCCCTGTGAATTTGACTCCAATAGGTACCTCATATAAGTGGGGCTTAGTTGCTCAGTCATGTCCCCACTCTTGGCAACGCCATGGACTGTGGCCCACCAGGCTCCTTTTGTGCCTGGCTTATTGCACTTAGTGTAATGTTCTCAAGAATCATGCACGTTGTAGCATGTATCAGAATTTTCTTCTGTTTCAAGGCTGAATAATATTCCATTATATAATATTCTGTTATACTACATTTTGTTTTTTCTCTCATCCATTGATGGGAGGTGGATTGCTGCCACCTCTTGAAAGTGAAAGTGAAAATTGCTCACTTGCGTCTGACTCTTTCAGACTCCGTGGCCTATACAGTCCATAGAATTCTCCAGGTCAGAATACTGGAGTGGGTAGCCTTCCCTTCTCCAGGGGATCTTCCCAAACCAGGGATCGAACATTGTGGGCAGATTCTTTACCAGCTGAGCCACAAAGGAAGCCACTTCTTGGCTATTGTGAATAAAGCTGCTTTAAACATAGTGAGCTTCCCTGGTAGCTCAGCTGGTAAAGAATCTACCTGTAATGCAGGAGACCCTGGTTTGATTCCTGGGTCAGGAAGATCCCCTGGAGAAGGGCATGACTACCCACTCCAGTATTCTGGGACTTCCCTGGTGGACCAGACGGTAAAGAATATGCCTGCAGTGCAGAAGATCTGGGTTCGATCCCTCAGTCAGGAAGATCCCCTGGAGGAGGGCATGGCAACCCTCTCCAGTATTCTTACCTGGCAAATCCCCATGGACAGAGGCACCTGGCAGGCTGCAGTTCGTGGGGTCACAAAGAGTTGGACACGACTGAGCAGCTAAGCACACACAAACAGTGCACAGGCATGGTCTCGCTGGAATTCCTGAGTCATTGGACAGTTCTGTTTTTAAGATTTCAGGGGATTGCTACACTGTTTTCCATAGCAGCTGTACCATTTTATGCTCCCACCATTAAACCACAAGGGTTTAAATTTTTCCACGCCCTCACCAATAATTGCTGTTTTCTGTTTGTTTATTATAATAGCCATCTTAATGAATGTAAGGTGATATCTCACAGTGGTTTGAGTTGCTTTTCCGATTATTAGTGATATTGAGCCTCTTTTCCTGTGCTTGTTGGCCATTCAGCTATCCTTTTTGGAGAAACACATATTTTAAGTCCTTTTCTCATTTTTTAAATTGAATTATTTTTTATTGTTGTTGAGCTGGCTTTTATTTTTTAAAAATATTTTGGAAACCAGTTCAATTTGTATGCTAAGTGATGTTCATAATTCATTATGAGATAAATGCCCAAGGGAGCAAAATTACCAAATTTAGTCTTGATGTTAATAAATGATATCATATTAGCTTGATTTTTCCCTTGAATGAAGACAGTGCTGATTATGTATTATAACTCTTCAAATACATTTGAATGGGAGCATAGCTTCCTTAAGGAAGATTTGGGTTCATTTTAAGGGCCAGATCTGTAAATGACAATATGTGGGGTTGAGAAAGGCTACAAGTCAAGTCTCAGAAGAAGGCATACTATGCCCCTTCTCATCCACCTCACCAGCACTTCCCAGCAGTCAGAAAGGAATGTTGTCATTAATGTCTATTACACTAGCTAACTAAAATGGGGAAACAGAGTCAGTAGAATGTAGCTACTATAAATCAATGAGTTCATGAAATTTAACGAAGCCACTAACTGAAGAAACCAAAGTTTTGCCTGGATTTCATCCCCCCTTCTTCAGTTTTCCCACTTTACCTAAATTACGTGCTGTCCTGCACATACCTCCCCAGGGGACATGTGGCGGTATCTGGAAACGTGTTGGTTGTCATGACTGAGGAGGGGGTGCTACCGGCATCTAGTGGATAGAGGCCAGGGCTGCTGCTAACTAAACATCTTGCAACACATAGTAAGTTCCCACAACAAAATTATGAAGCCCAAAGTGTCAAGAGAGCTGCTGTTGGAAACTTCTGCTTTAACCCTCAATCCACCTGTAAAGTGCAAGGGTTTATCACTTTCTCCCATGAAGGTCTTGGGTAGTTTTATGAGATTTTTTTTTTTTGTATTTTATTCTCTACTTGGATATTGCTAAAGAACAGTTGTGGGGTATTATGTATCTACCCAGCTTGCCAGACCTTTCTATTATTAGTTTTACTCATATAGATAATATCTCATTAATTCTTATCACCTTTTTGCATTGGGAAAACCACTAGATCATTCAGGTATGACCCAAATTAAATCTCTTACGATTATACAGTGGAAGTGAGAAATAGATTTAAGGGATTAGATCTGACCGAGTGCCTGAACTATAGGCAGAGATTCGTGACATTGTACAGGAGACAGGGATCAAGACCATTCCCAAGAAAAAGAAGTGCAAAATGGCAAAATGGCTGAATGAGGAGGCCTTACCAATAGCTGTGAAAATAAGAGAAGCAAAAAGCAAAGGAGAAAAGGAAAGATATACCCATTTGAATGCAGAGTTCCAAAGAATAGCAAGGAGAGATTAGAAAGCCTTCCTCGCTGATTAGTGCAAAGAAATAGAGGGAAACAGTAGAATGGGAAAGACTAGGGATCTCTTCAAGAAAATTAGAGATACCAAGGGAACATTTCATGCAAAGATGGGCTCAATAAAGGACAGAAATTGTATGGCGCTAACAGAAGCAGAAGATATTAAGAAGAGGTGGCAAGAATACACAGAAGAACATACAAAAAAGATCTTCATGACCCAGATAATCATGATGGTGTGGTCACTCATCTAGAGCCAGACATCCTGGAATGTGAAGTCAAGTGGGCCTTAGGAAGCATCGCTATGAACAAAATTAGTGGAGGTGATGGAATTCCGGTTGAGCTATTTCAAATCCTAAAAGATGACGCTGTGAAAGTGCTGCACTCAATATGCCAGCAAGTTTGGAAAACAGCAGTGGCCACAGGACTGGAAAAGATCAGTTTTCATTGCAATCCCAAAGAAAGGCAATGCCAAAGAATGCTCAAACTGCCACACAATTGCACTCATCTCGCATGCTAGTAAAGTAATGCTCAAAATTCTCCAAGCCAGGCTTCAGCAATACGTGAACCGCGAACTTCCAGATGTTCAAGCTGGTTTTAGAAAAGGCAGAGGAACTAGAGATCAAATTACCAACATCTACTGGATCATCGAAAAAGCCAGAGAGTTCCAGAAAACATCTATTTCTGCTCTCTTGACTATGCCAAAGCCTTTGACTGTGTGGATCACAGGAAACTGTGGAAAATTCTGAAAAAGATGGGAATACCTGACCTGCCTCTTGAGAAATCTGTATGCAGCTTAGGGAGCACCAGTTAGAACTGGATGTGGAACAACAGACTGGTTCCAAATAGGAAAAGGAGTACGTCAAGGCTGTAGATTGTCACCCTGCTTATTTAACTTATATGCAGAGTACATCATGAGAAATGCTGGACTGGATGAAGCACAAGCTGGAATCAAGATTACCGGGAGAAATGTCAATAACCTCAGATATGCAGATGACACCACCTTTATGGCAGAAAATGAAGAAGAACTAAAGAGCCTCTTGATGAAAGTGAAAGAGGAGAGTGAAAAAGTTGGCTTAAAGCTCAACATTCAGAAAACTAAGATAATGGCGTCTGGTCCCATCACTTCATGGCAAATAGATGCGAAACAGTGGAAACAGTGTCTGACTTTATTTTGAGGGGCTCTAAAATCACTGCAGATGATGACTGCAGCCATGAAATGAAAAGACGCTTACTCCTTGGAAGGAAAGTTATGACCAATCTAGATAGCATATTAAAAAGCAGAGATATTACTTTGCCAACAAAGATCTGTCTAGTCAAGGCTATGGTTTTTCCAGTAATCATGTATGGATGTGAGAGTTGGACTATAAAGAAAACTGAGGGCAGAAGAATTGATGCTTTTGAACTGTGGTGTTGGGGAACACTCTGGAGAGTCCCTTGGACTGCAAGGAGATCCAACCAGTCCATCCTAAAGGAGATCAGTCCTGAGTGTTCATTGGAAGGACTGATGTTGAAGCTGAAACTCCAATACTTTGGCCACCTGATGTGAAGAGCTGACTCGTTTGAAGAGACCCTGATGCTGGGAAAGGTCAAAGGCAGGAGGAGAAGGGGATGACAGAGGATGAGATGGTTGGATGGCATCACCGACTCAATAGATATGAGTTTGGGTAAACTCCGGGAGTTGGTGATGGACAGGGAGGCCTGGCGTGCTGCAGTTCATGGGGTCGCAAAGAGTTGGACACTACTGAGCGACTGAACCGAACTAGGACCTCTTTTTTCCCTTTGAGAGGGAAAAAAGTCAAATTTGGAAATGTTCATATTAGTTCACCATTTAGTGTGATCCTTACGCTAGGTGGCAGATAGGTGCACTTCTTCAAAGTGAGGAAGTTATATTCCTAATGT